ATTTTATGTATTTATTGCTACATATCCATAGAGCAACACGGGCCACCAGTGATCGGGGGGCGTAGCCATACGCAGGCGTTCATCTTTGTAAAAGTATAAATCCACGCGGTCATATGCATACAACAAAACTAGTTGCAGCCGCACTATTTATTAATTAGCCAAGATCCGCGTGAAAATTAAAAAAATATGTGTCACACTTAATTCGAAGAGCACCTACTGCCTTCACCACTAACCCCAACACCACTAGCCCAAACGCCCTTACACTAGGAAAGACGTGTTTCGCCTCTTAACAAGACATCATCAGCAGAAATAGACTCAGGGATGCCTGACCGCTAAGTGAAGTAAGCGATACACGTGTCGTATTAATTGACAGTCATGTGGCTTTCCTAGTGCAGTTGTATTCGAGGTAGTAGTGTTGGGATTAGTAGTGACGGTGATAGTGCACGCAATGAGGGCTAATAATTTTCTGCTCACCAGATGTCGCTAGTCGACAATGAGGTAAAGTTTTTTGTTATACAATTTAATTTAATTGAGAAGTTGGTTTTTAATAAAAGTTTATCAGCTTCTAGAGTATTAAATTAATACACAAAACAATGCGTCAGTGGTTTCTTCTTTAATTTTTTTTGCACATTTTTAACTTTTTTTAATTTTTCTACTTGTATGAATATCTGTGGTTTGGTTTATTTATTTTTAACCTTATTTATACAAAATATAGCTAATAGTGCAGAAAGAAACAATAACCTTTACATTTTCCGAACAAATTAACTTCCCCGCTATGAAATCTGTCAAATATTATACCTCACTTTCTAGTGGCGCCGCCCTGGTGGCAGAAAAAGTCGTGGATTGAGTAATTGAGGTAAGGCGTTCTGCAAACTAGGTAAGACACATAATTTTTATTCCTCACGCAGATCTAGGCTAATTAATTTTAACATCTTTAATGATTAGTATTTCAACCTAAACCTTGCTGCACAATGGCCAGGTGTTTTGCTCACTAGCCTAGCCCAGCCCAGACCTAACCGTCGAATGTTTATTTATTTATTTCCACATACATGTAGTATGTATGTGGAAATAAATAAACTGTCTAAACACTAGAAGTTTATAACCAAATGCATGCAGTGCATGCTAATTTGAAACAACTTATTATTAATATAAATAAATTTAATAATAAGTTGTTTTAAAATTTTAAGAAAACCCCAAAGAACAAACAGAAGTACGAACAACAAATGACAAACTAAGTAGCCCTTGTAAATTCATTCAGAGTGCAACATACTTTAAAATTAAAATTTTTGTACAACCGACTTCAATATAATTTATTATTATTAAGAATAATTCAAAAATTATTGGTCAGACCTTGATCAAATTTATATAGGACCATATGAGAAGCACCAGCTTTAAAATAGGTCCACCCGATCCGACAATTATTGATTCAGAAGAATGTTAGGAGGTTTATTAGAATTATTAAAATTTCAGATCATAAGAATGTACTTAAAGCCCTTTTTCTACCGACTTCAAAAAGGAGGAGGTACTCAATCCGACTCTATGTTCTTTTTTTATGTGTGTTACCTCATAACTTTTCTGTGAGTGAACCGATTTTGATGTTTCTTTTTTTTTGAAAGCTGGTGCTGCTCATGTGGTCCCGTATAAATTTGATCAAGATCTGACCAGCAGTTTTTGAGTTATCCCGAATGATTTAATTTTAATTATTAAAATATAATATTAGACAAATCTTTGTGTATGCATATTGCAATACATTTTAATGTATTCGATTAAATAGCATTAGGCTACGTCGCTATACTTATTTGAAAGTACCGGTGACCGTATTCCCTAAGGGTATTACCGTAGACCGTATTAACAGTGGTAGAGCCACGCGGCAGCTTTTGCTGTCGCACGGATGGGCCGGCTCGAACCGGGGTGGTACCATGACCTCACAGAATACCAGCGTGAAGTAGAGGTTTATCTCTGCGTTTCGCTTGGTGAGTGCAGGTGGCCGGAGGCCCTTTTTACTGGAAATGAGGCATTCCATCTTAGTCCTCACGGGTGGCAACGCATCTGCATTTTGATTCACAAACGAGGATAGATGTAGATGTCTATGGGCTGCAGCAACCACTTACCATCAGTTGGACTGTGTGCTCGTTTGTCACCCTTATCCTATAAAAAAAAATAAAAAAAAGGATCCACATGCACAACTTTCGAATGATCTAATGCGTTCGAAGTTTTTATGTGCTCTTTTAAATTAAAAATAGCTATATGAACCTATAGAACAGGTCTTTCATTCTAACACATTTATATTTTATTTTTTACATTATATTTCGGTATTATATGTGGTAGAGCCATGCTGCAGCTATATTAGTAGTATAGTTGTAGCACAAATGGGTCGGCTCGACTGGGGAAGGACCACGCTCTCACAGAATACCAGCGTAAAATAGCAGCTTGATACTGCTGTGTTTCGTATGGTGAGTGTAGAGAACCGGAGAGCCATTTTACTGGAACAGAAGCATTTCATCTTAGTCCTCACGGGTGACAACGCATCTGCATTTTGATTATTTATTGAGGATAGATGTAGATGTCTATGAGTCACAGCAAACACTTACCATCAGGTGGAATGTGTGCTCGTTTGTCACCCTATCCTATAAAAAAAAACCTAAGCAACCGAACTTTGCACGGCGTTAAAGAAAAAACAATTCTCAAGGATGAAACCCTCCTAAACTTGGAAAGCAAAACTTAATCTAAATACAAAACTTCATGTAAATTGTTAGTGCCGCTACGTATATTGTAAGAAACTATTTCATACAATATACGTACAAGATTTGACTAGTGCATATAGTAAAATATTTAATCAAAATATTTAACATTACAAAATTCTATTTTAAATCCATCGTGGAAGAGTTTAATGCTGCTGTGTTTTGTATGCTAACTGTAGCTAACCGGGGACTCTTTTTACTGCAAAAAAAGATATTCTATCTAAGACCTCTGGGGTGACAACTCATCTGCATTTCGTTTTTTATTAAAGAATAGATGTTGGTGACTATGGGTCACAACATCCACTTTCCATCATGTAGACTGTGTGCTCGATTGTCCATTATGTTATTAAACAATTAAAACTTTTAACAAAATGTAAAAATCGATATTTTAAATTGCAAAAAAAATATTTTTTCTCCAATATTTATATGGGACCATCCTTGAATCTGTTTAATAAAAAAAGAATCATCAAAATTGGTGAGTAGAAATGGAAATATAACATAGCAAACGCAACATACATATAACTTTAAGTTCAAATGTGTATTCTAACTTCGAATTTTGTTTAATACTAGCGACCCACCCCCAGCTTCGCCTGGACTATTAATGTTGCGTTATTTAGATTTATAAAATACCAATTATTTTATCAATTTATCGTTTTTGAAAAAAAAATCTTGAAGTTTTTCGGATAAAATATAGCCCAGATATCGTATCTGTTCTTAAAGTTTACAAACAGACAAATTAAAAAAAAAAATATTATGTCTCAATATCATGGAAATAATCGCTTGAGCTTAATATAAGCCAGTTCGTTCAATGTTACAGATAGACACTTCAGCTTTATTTATATGTACAGATTGAATAAATTTTAAGTTTTTAAATCTATGTTGGATGTACTATAAAAATGAAAAGTAAAGACCTGCTCGCGTTTCTGGGAGAGATACATACTCATTTCAAATAAAAAAATGTTGTATTATGAATAATACTAGTATTAATTTAATAATATTTAGTATGTTTTAATTACAAGTTATTGTTTTATTATTGTTACATAATATTAATTTATAAAAAAAAAACTAACAGAAACCGAAGCGGCACTTGAAAATAGGAAACAGAAAAAAATTAATAGTATGATCTACACAGATTGTAAAATCAAATGGCAGGTAGGCAGGTAATTCAGCACAGATTCAACACGCGATTGCTGTAATTCTGTCTGCCGATCGCAGGCTCAGTTTAAGGGGTGAGTGACCTCGCTCAATGGCCTGTATCCATTCGCTAGGTATCACTCGTCGCCTAACCAAGACAACATTGCTTCTTGAAAATAGTTACTTTAATTTTATTATTCAGGCTTTGCAAATAATTGTACGCATTGATATTTTGACCATTATCTGTACCGCACAAATGATTAGAAAACAAAATATGTTATAGCAGTGACAATGATATTTTCAACTGCAATGTACAAAAAGTTTTCTTAATGTTTTTCCAATTTGTAGAGCTTGGCCAAATAAATTCCGCATCTAGATGAGTAAACTCTACCAGACAAATACTTTTCTCTCCTTTACTGACTTGGTCTTTGATACGTTTAATTAGAAACTACAATTGAGTCATATTGATTAGGTTTAAGTGAACTAGGTATAATATTCACGTTAGAATTATATTTTCAGGCTTTAATATCTGTATTGATTACTTTTTTTGATGATTGTAGCTTATAAAATAATAGAAAAAGCATAAATATCTAAATAATTAACTTATATTAAAAGTATGTAAACAGGTTAATAAACATAGATGGATTACAATGTCATAAATAAGAGAAGACACACGTGAGTAAATGGATTTTCTTTTTGCGCCGCGTCATAAGTAGTGAGTTGATGTTAAGACTCAATGGTATTTAGGGCACAAGCAGTACGTCCATCGCAAACTGTACAGTAGATTAAAAAAAATCTATTTTGTACAGCTTCGAAGCAATTAGTCAATAGAAATCCGTGTGAGTTAACAGTGTAGGCGCGTCGGAACAATGCTGCTCCCAGCCACTTTCATTTCGATCGCCGGTCATCTTGTCTTAGTGAAATTCACTGCTGAAATTACCCCGCGTCTCAATTTTTAGGTCAAATGTGGATCCGTAGTGAAAACTATAACTAGTAGGAGGAAACGCATAAACCTCTCCCTCGATGCAGCGGCCGAAAATATGTGCGCACTATATATAGAAGCGTCTTACGGAACATGTTTCGATCGACGGTGATTTTTTGGTGATATAAATGTTTGTTACTCACCAGAATCGTGCGCTCGCGTTTTCAAAGCGTTCGTTGGCGTATCCGCGGTATATTTCACTGAAATTATATTGATCGCGTCGCCTTTCGCTAGCGCAGATCCCGGTCGTGTGGCGCCCGCCCGGGCGGTGTGCCGACTGACGCTGCGCGCGCGCACACATACATCCGTCACTTTTCCAGTGCAACATTCAGCTCACTGTGCCTTCAGATACCTATACATTTGGGCCAATGTTGGAATTTACAGACAAAAACTAAATGTGCATTTACTGTGAATAATAGCTTTTACCACTCTATTTAATACTGTGGTATCAGAGCTATTTCAGATAATAATTTCTAGACACACTAGCAGCTGTATCTTCTGGATTTTTCTCCGCGATTATGTAGGTAGATGATCAAACATAATATGTACACATTTCAGAAACTTGATACCAATATAATTTGCAATACATTTCCCTTGTACAGTGCTATGATTAATTTATTTAATTTAATGCACTGAGCAAAGTAATATAGACTCTATTTTTATCACAGCCATAATCCTGTGGAACTGTAACATAGAGTAAATTTTGAACAAAATTTTACGATAACGTGGACTATTTTCGATTCTACGTTTTTTGTAGACTAATTTTGCGTATTCGTCCAAACATTATTGAATTTGAACACTGTTAAACACACACAGTATCGTCAGTTGGAAAACTTCGCGGTCCATTGAATTGTTGAATCATTGTTTGCTCTACATCGTGCAATTGCACGGTGCCCGCTTTCAAAGCGGCGAGAGTCCGGCCGTTGTCTTCATTGAATTCAACGCGTTAGTGTTAATTATTAAATTAGTAATATACGGTATGAGTGTATATATGTTTTATTAGCTTTTTTCTACTACTCTGCTCTTAAAAGTTAAAGTTTAAAGTTAGAGCCTATATGCGGCAAGGAAATGTCCACCGCGCTACCCCAATGCGTGTTGGCGAACTGTCACATGTCTTCGAAATATTTTTTTTATTTCTCAGACATGCAGGTTTCCTTACAATGTTTTCCTTCACCTCCGAGCACGTGCTAAATCAGCACTTAAGATTGCAATTAACAATTTCATTGGTGCCGGCGGAGATCGAACCCGGGTTGCTCGCGTAATGTGAAACTTACAGCGAGCGCTAACCATCTGAGCTACCACGGCTCGACCTACTCTTCCTTCCTATGAATTGATAATTTCTAAACATTGACTTGCCGTTTAATGGCGAAAGAAAGGAACCCATTTGCCAGATGGTCAGCATTCGTCTGGATTCTCCCGACATTTCAAATGATCTCCAGACTCCCGACAAAACTCAAATTCGCCGCAAACAGCTTCTCTTCACGTCACAGCTGCCTTTGATTTAATAAAAGCTGAGTTATTAATTAGACTGAACTTGGAAGTGTTTGAATTTTAAATCTTTTCTGATTACTAGTATTCTAAATTGTTCGACTCAGTAAAGTCCAATGCCAAATAAATGTGGCAACCTAAAAATGTTGTGTACTGAAACATTTAAATTAATTTTTATACGTGGTAGAGCCATGCTGCAGCTATATTAGTAGTATATTTGTAGCACGAATGAGTCGGCTCGACCGGGGAAGGACCACGCTCTGACAGAATACCCGCGTAAAATAGCAGCTTAACACTGTTGTTTCGTATGGTGAGTGTAGAGAACCGGAGACCCTTTTTACTGGAAAAGAGGCAATCCATCCTAGTCCTCACGGCTGACAACGCATTTACATTTCATTCGCAAACGAGGATATATATTATATAGATGTCTATGGGCTACAGCAACCACTTACCTTTAGGTGGGCTGTGTGCTCGCTTGTCACCCTTATCCTACAAACAGAAGATTGTGGACGCTGATGATACTCAGTCTACGGCTGAATTAGCAGCAGCTTTCAACGTTAGCATTTATATGGCCTACAAATGATTGTTCTGTGTCTGGATGTGTGTCCTTGTGAAATTAATGTATGTAAATTGCCACCACACTACAGGAGAAAATCCTAGAGTGGAGGTATAGAAGAGAGTCGTCGATCATGGGTGTCAATCAGTTTCTGTTTGACATCCTTTGTTCATCGGAGACTTTGACTTTCTTTAATTCATTTCACCGTTCTACAATTGGATTGGGCTTCTTGAATAGTTAAGATTCTACCAGCAAATTATACACATATAAGCAGTAAATTCGGGGCCCTTTCTTTTATATGGTTTGAAATCGCAGATTTGTCATCTTCATCATCGTTATCATTTTTCGGTGTTCTTTTATCTATAAGTACAAATAAATAAAATTGAAGTGTCTCTTTGTAATATCAAAATAACAGCTTTTTACTAAATACATATGAAAGTGTATACGGTACTTATAACAAAAACACAATTTTAATATTTTTATCTGTCTATCTGTCTGTCTATTTGTTCCGGCTAATCTTCGAAATGGCTGGACCGATTTCGACGGGACTTACACTGGCAGATAGCTGATGGTATAAGGAGTAATTTAGGAAACCTTTATTTTAGAAAAAGAATCAGGGTTCCGAGCAAAAAAATTAAAACCCTAAATTGATCGCGGGCGAAGTCGCGGGGAACAGGTCCCTCAACCTATTGTGCATCCAATATATTTTTTGCAAATAATGTGACGTCCACCTGCTTATGATCCATATGATGTCCGAAATATCCTCTAGTTTACGGCAGATGTAAAATATGCAGACCAGCGACAGACAACAGTATTGAAATTACTTTAGTAGTGACAAATTCTTCCTTTCGGTAAAATATTTCCGACAAAAGAAGCTAAGCCTAGCAGTAGACTTCTACCGGCTGATAATGGAGAACATATTTTAATAATTTGTTTTATAACAGTTGAATATCTATCGGTGTAGGTGAATAGTCGCATTATAAAAAAATATTATCATATAATAATTGATCTTATTTAAAGCAAGAATAATTTGTTTTGTTTTCTTAAAATATATAATTTTTGAGCATTTAAATGTAAATGTTTATCTGTGTTATTAATACAAAGTCTTCTAATAAATAATTTGCTGATTTAATTTGTCACATTATATTTATTACAAACCCCTTAGTCCTGTTACTTTCGACCCACAACGTGTTACTTTCGACCTGCCCAAGTGGTCGAAAGTAACAACTGACGATTTTTTTTTGAAGTCTCTATGATTCATATAAAAAACACAATAATAAGGTAAATCAAGATAGTAATGTAAAGAACATAAACGGAATGTATATATGGCTATATTAATTTCATTAAAATGATTACACCTAACCAGAAACCAAGGTAAAAGTACAAAATGTTACTTTTGTACCCGGTCTCCCCTATATTGTCGCAGTGAGTTTAATTAGCCACTAACTGGACGGCTTGCCTGTCCTTGTAACAGCAAGGAACAGCTTAACAGCTAAACGTCAACATTCACCCTAAAAAAAGAACCTGCAGCTTTATTATAGTTGTAGCATAAATGGGTCAGTTCGACCGGAGAAGACCACACTCTCTCAGAATACTAGCGTAAAATAACAGCTTAAGGCTACTGTTGTGCTTCGCTTAGTGAGCGTAGAGAACCGAAGACACTTTTTTTCTGGAAACGAGGCATTGCATCTGCATCTTGATTCTTAACCGAGGATATATGTAGATGTCTATGGGCTACAACATCCACTTACCAATGGTCGACTGTGTTATCATTTTTCACCCTTATTCTATAAAAAACTAAATAGCTTTTTTTATAGGAGAGGGGGCAAACGAGCATGCGGCTCACCTGATGGTAAGTGACTACCGCCGCCCATGAACAACTGCAACACCAGAGAGGGAATTGCAGATGCGTTGCCGGCCTTTTAAAAAGGAGTACGCTCTTTTCTTGAAGGTCCCTAACTCGTATCGGTCCGAAAAAATCGCTGATGGTAATCGATTCCACAAGGAAGTCGTGCGAGGAAGAAAACATCTTCTAAATCGCACAGTGGTGGACCGCCAATCATCCAGATGGTGTGGATGGTATCGGGAGTTCTGCCGCGATGTGCGTTCGTGAAATTTGGCGGCTGGGATTAATCCGAACAATTCCTCAGAGCACTCCCCATGGTAGATGCGAAAGAAAATGCAAAGGGATGCAACATCTCTTCGCAGTGCCAATGAATCGAGCCGATCGGAAAGGGCTCGGTCGTCGACGATTCGAACCGCTCTGCGCTGGATGCGGTCAAGTGGAAGGAGCTGGCACTGGGGAGCCCCTGCCCAGAGATGGGAACAGTATTCCATGTGAGGCCGAACCTGCGCCTTGTAAAGTTGCAGGCGGTGTGCCGGCATGAAATACTGTCCCGCTCTGCTGAGCACGCCAAGCTTTTTAGAGGCCAATTTGGCCTTCTCTTCCAAGTGACCACGAAACTGCACGTCACTTGATATGTCGACTCCGAGGATTCCGATACTGGCTGAGGCAAGAAGAGGAGTGCCTTGAAACTGAGGAGATACGACAAAGGGGTTCTTTTTAGCGGTAAACGCGCAAACTTGTGTCCTCTGAGAATTAAACTGGACTAGATTTAGTCGCCCCCAATCCGAGACTTTGTTCAGCAAAGACTCGACTTCAGACACAAGTTTGTTGCGGTACTCGGCGATGTTTTCCCGAGAAATATTGGCACGGCCGGTGTATAGAGCATCACCAGTGCTGTCATCCGCATAGCAATGAACGTTACCAGTTGTGTACCAGTGTGATCGCACACAGCCTTGTGGAACACCAGCGTTAATAGGCTTGATCCTCCGATCTGCAAGGAAGCTGGTGATCCAATTGCACAATTTCTCGGGAAGCCCATAGGAAGGGAGCTTCGAAAGCTTTGTGCCAAACCCGATCGAAGGCCTTCGCAATGTCCAGAGTAACGGCCAACGCCTCCCCCTTGGACTCTACTGCCTCCACCCATCTATGGGTCAGGTAGACCAGAAGATCACCAGCTGATCGACCTCGACGAAAACCGTATTGGCGGTCACTAATCAGTTGGTGATCCTCAAGGTACCGGATGAGCTGGTGGTTAATAATGGATTCCATTATTTTGGAGAACAAGGAGGTGATCGCGATAGGCCTATAGTTGGACGGGTCTGAGCGGTCGCTTTTTTTAGGAATCGGGTGGACAAAAGCTGTCTTCCATGAATTCGGGACTATGCCTTGGGAGTAGGAGTACCGGAAAAGACGCGTTAGGGCCGGTGCCAACTCCGGA